CGCGACACTTCCAGTGTATCGCACCACACCAACAGCGATAATACATCGCGAATCAGGGCTACAGCAGCCGGAAATAGCCCTTGATGGCCGTGCACTTGCAGCCACCGTCCGACTACGCCGTCTGGATCCTCGACACCCGCTCTTACGCCGTGCTAATAGAGTTCTCAGCTCACAGCGTGCTACCTCTCGATTTGCCCGACGTGTACTTTCACTCCCCAGATCAGAGCAAATCAATGCAATCGCTATTCCTCCTTGGAATCCACGTGAGAGCCGTGAAGCTGCACAATCTCGGGTGGCTGGTTCGAACAGTACCACTACAGAGGAAAACAAACAGTCCTTCCTTGACTTTCTTACGACCATCCCCTTCGGAGACATCATTATCTACTCGGATGGCTCTAAGCAACTAAACGGCTTGAGCGGCGCTGGCTTCATCGGATACCAAGGAGGCGTACAAGTCTTGCATCAAAGTCTTGCCCTTGGAAAAGGCGTCGAAGTTTTCGATGCGGAAGTAAAAGGTGCCCTAGAGGGGGCAAAGTCCGCACTAGCACTCCCAACTGCCAAATTCGCGACAGATCTATGGATTTGTCTAGATAATCTGGAAGTTGCCACTCGACTGTTATTCCCCTTTTCAGGGTCCTCACAAGCGCAATTTGACGAGTTCCTCACCTTAAATCCCAAATGGCAAGACCGCTCACGGCTGGCCCACACTAGACGGGGCCAAATCCGGGTCCGATAGGTCCCGAGTCACGCATCGATAGTTGGAAATGAAGCTGCGGACAAAGCAGCGAAAGATGGCTGCCAGTTACCAACTCCAGATGACGTCGCTTTCACATATGCGGGGCTAAAGCGCTGGGCAAAAGAGTCAACAACGCAAGCCTCTCGCAACCTCTGGAGAAATCTCCTTCCCCAGCACCTAGGCTACGAAAAGCTAGGAATAATATCAGCACCCACTAGGCCAAAAGAACTTGCCCTTCCGCGCGCCACTCTAGGTCGAATTCTAGCAGCTAGATCTGGGCACGGCGACTTCGCTGACTATCACGAGCGGTTCAATCATGAAAATGCATCAAATTACTGCCGATGTGGCCGTCGTAAGGCCCCACTACATTGCTTTTTCTGTCATATAGCGAAAAGAAGATGACGACTAATGCAGGGTCCGCCTTCGGAAATGATCCCGTTCATTCTTGGCACATATGAAGGAGGTCAAAGATTTGGAGAATGGCTACAGGAAACCCGATTCTTCACAGATATCTGCCCATAATCTTGAGGTTTCAAGTGTCGCGAAAAACCAGCAAACGAAGGAAGGAAGATAAGCAATTTAGACTCCTTTTTTTTTCTAATTTATTTTTCCGGTAGTGGAGGTCAACAGGGAGTGTGGGTTGACCTGCGCAGAGAATGGCGCCGAGCAAGTATCTTACCACCACAAATAAGAGCCTAACAAACTGCGGGAAGTAGCTATGTGAATGCACCTCCTTTATATGTTAAATAGTTTAATTTTGTTTTTTTGCTTTCCTTTAAAACATGAAGAAGCCCAGAGATTAAATCCTGGCGTCTTTTGTCTCAGTAGGGACTTAATAGGGTTACTCGCTTGACGCGTGATCCGCCAGACGTTAAATAAAGATAAATAAATAAAAATAAAAATTCTAGAGACAGATGAATGAAAAACGCCACAACCTACGACGGCATTGATCATTACACCACATCAACAGCCATGTAAATCGAACAGTACTTTACCGCATGTGGATGAGTTTGATCCAGTAATTTCCCGTATCCAATGGACTAGCTAGTCAGGCTATCGTCTATCTTTGTAAAATACGGTTTGGAGGAGATTCCGCACGTCTATCCGGAGCTCTACCTTTACTTCGAATTCAAAATCCCTACCTGTTTGCTATCGCCTAAGAGTTGCTATTTTCGACACTTGGTTAACGGAGACATAGAATTTGCTTTCCGTAAGCTCTAATTTTCGCGACCTCCTACAGGATTCAAGGCTATTATAGATCCGTTCGAGCAGTCTTTTGAGCTTGGGCTACAACTCCAGTTCCATAGCCTTGTTGTTACTCCTCTCATCACAATGCCAACCCTTGACTCAGGAAACTCACCATAGCGACGGGATCACCCGTCGCTTCTATGAAATCTTACCAGAGCTATATTTGTCTTTGGTTACTCCTGCCAATAAGTGATCATATTACCCGAAGAATGAAAACTGAATACCTATCTGCCGTGTGCTCAACGAGCCTGAGAGAAAATTTCTCGGGCAACCGAGTTCAGCCAAGTCTATTGAAATTATGGAGCACAGAGATAATCCAGGTGATGGCTAATGGAAATTCCCGACGAAGGGGTATGTTTTTGAGATTTCTATTATTTCTGTGTTGGGATACACTTCGTCGATCCTACTAAGCTCGATAATTAGTAGTCCCGACCGACTGATGTTTGCCGAACGGAGATTGCGTATACCTTGTGTTGGCGTTGTTTGCTGCTGTTAATAGGAGATCCTGCACGGGATATCTAATGGGATTAAAAGGAGTCTGGTACCTATGATTGGTAGAGTGGCTGAATTGCCACACCCTTATCCTTCATGATTGCAAAAGGTTTCTTCTACTAGCAAGTCCATGAGCTAAGTAGTGGGTTATATTTACAAGAAAATGGCGAAATTCCGAGAAAGCTGATCCGCACGGCAATAACTCAAGACAAACTACCATATCAAATTTACACTCCTAACAAGATCGACTCCAACCAAAACCTTATCCAGTCTACTAGTACGACCTAATACGACTTCATTTGTCCGACAACATCTCTCGTCAAATCAATATCTGGCCTTAAATGGCCTCCAAATACCCGCCTATAGCAGCATGAATACCCACAGAAGGATCCAAATCTAGCGAGGCGAATCTTCGGGTTAGTCATGAGAGATCAGGGCAGATAGAAAAGATGACGCCAAGGATGGAAAAAATCTTTTCAAGATTGAGATTCAATTTTTGGAGAATCAGACTTTCAAGTTGACGAGCATCATACGCGCGCGACAACTTTTTTTTTTTTTTTTTTTTTAAATCATTTAATGTGTATTCAGCTATGGAGCTATGACACATGACCGGTGCTATGTATACATGTTGGATGACTCTTTTGACGTAAGAGACACTCATACTCTGGATTTCATTCGCAAATACCACTATGAGGTATGCTTGCTTACACAAACAGTCAACCTCCTCCACAAGTACTCACCAAGGGGAATTTCAAAACCATTGGTTATCCAAGCATTTCTTCGTCATCCATGCATATCAGCGCCGCGAGAAAAGTAGTTGTGTTTTGCTAGATTTGAACCAGCGATCTACTGTCTCAAGTGGGATATGTGTCCAAGCTATCCAGACTCTACTTGGCAGACCAACCAAGACGATGTACCACCGCACCATCCAACCATGGTGGTGTTTATAGTGTCGCCTGCACTCTCGTAACCGAAGTCTTGGCACGCACGAAGCTCAATTTGTAAAAACTCCTTGCCAAAATTCAAAATTCCGCGCCTGTCGAGACTGTATCAATCCTCTGCATCATCTTATCAACTTGTCCTAATCCCTCTCACATCCATCCCAAGGAACTGTCTTCCAGATTTGTGCGCCACGCTTTGCTTCCTCCGGCGAGTGTAAATATCGGCGTGGGCGTGTATCTGGCGACCAGCTAAGGCCAGAGAAAGTCTGCGAGAGACGTGATCATTGAAATGAGGATGTACTAGGTCGTACTTGTAAACTTGATGAGGCTTGGATAGGATTCGGACTCGTTGGGAGTGAAAATTTGACGTGGTGGAGTAGTTTGAATTATTGCCTCGTGGGCCAACTTGTTCGGTATTGCGAAATTCGACTGAACTTGGCTCTGGGAGAATATTTCACTCCCAGGTTCGTAGATGACACCGCGTACAGGTGTTCAGTCTTGCCCTCCGCGCGACAACTTTGATCATTAGAGTGCAGTTGGCAATAAAAATCCGTGTTGATCGAATGATGCAGCGCTTCGTTACTCGGACTGGTCCCTCATATAGAGTCCAGTTGGTTCGAACACCTACCTCACTACGAGAAGGAGATGGACTGGTTCGAATCCAGCAAGACTCCATAGTCTTGCGGTATTCGTGGGCTTGGCAAACCAAATATTTCGGATATCTCCTCGGCAAGTGATCAGTAGATGGCCGCCGGTTCTACGCAAGCAATCATACCTCAGTGATATTTTTAATTGAAATACGGAATAAGATTAACTCTGAAATGTAGCAGGGTATCCGACACGCATAATACTAACGATTTGTCATGGTGAGACAGCTTCAAAGACAAAAATTACAAAAAATCCTCTAATGAGATGGTTAATTTGATCTTGTGGTTCTAAGCACCAAAAATTCCCGAAGCTATTCGTTAGGATAACTTTGTATATAAGAAAATTCTTTTGGCCATGAATGGAGTAGATTTTTGACAGTCCTACTCAATTAGGAAATCTGTCAAATGGCACAGGAGAGGGAATTTTTTCTAGAATTTCTTATATCACGGCACGTTGGTTCAGAGCTTCTATATTTCCAGTATCGGGGATGATTTAGTAATGGGTGTTGGCAGGTAGCAGTCAAATAGCTGTCGAATCAATGGACATTTTTATTTTAGCCAACGAGTTTTATAATTGGATATTGCTTGTGAGACCCTGATAACTGCTTGAAGGGCTGGCTTAGTTTTGATTCCGACTTTTATTAATTGACCGTTGGCTGGGATTACAAGGCAAGCTTGAGTTCCAGGCTTTTTGGATTATTGACAGTTTGAAGAATCCAGGGGAGTCCTTGCTAATTCGAAACAAGCTGTATAATCACATTTATTCTGCGGCATGGAAGCATTTATGGGAAAAAAAGGAAATGGGAACTAGATGGATTATCTAGTCAATAATAATTTCATTGAGCTCAGTTTACTTTTGTCGTCATTGATCATTAATTGAAGAGAATTATGAATTTGTCTGAAAAGTCAAGTACGAAACTCGTTCCTTGGATTTGCTTATGCCAGTATTTTTTCTGCTGCACTCACGTCCAATCCCGTGTTATCAGGCTCGACGAAGACCCCCGTGACTGTTCCATCCTCCGTGGTTATAGCATATCGCTTACTTCTGATGCCTCCCAGGACAGGAGTCGCATCGAACTCGACAGCTAGAGCTTTGCTAAAGGCGGCGGCTTTATCCCCGAGGAATCGTATACCCGATGACTTTTCCTTATCGAGACTTTTTCCCCAAGCGTTCATTACGAAAGCATCGTTAACTGACACAACAAATACGCTTCCAGCCTTGGACAGAGAGGGATGTCCGATGTAGTTGGGGATGTGAGTATCGGAACACGTTGGACCTAGAACATAAATTTCAATATAATACAATACTGAAGATAGATAGGAACACACTAAAAGCAGCTGGTACTCCAATGATAAGCCCCTTTCCCTTCGCTAGCTCCTTGCTAAGGTCTACTTGTTTTGAAGGTGAATTTTCATCCAAGTCAATGCTAGGTATTTTGTCTCCAACTTGAACCATGGTGAAAGATTTATTCAGATAAAAGTTGTTTTGCTTTGATGCCGTGAATCAAATGTTCGTTGTCTAGAGGCGTATGCGGAAGCTCAGGTACTTAAAGCGGAGAAATTATTACCTAAGCTAACTCCCATGAATTCCCACTGCGTCTAATTTGATAATGGCGCTTATCAGTTCTTTGAGGTTATCACGTGCGAATCGCTTCATATGCCTGACTTCACGCATACTATTAGACAAAGGAAACACGACGTTAAATAATTATAAAAAAAAAAATTAGACAAAGGAATTTGGTATGAATAAAATTAGGCCTTAAAACTTACACTGTTTTATCCTATGATTAATGTTCTATAATAATTATTTTTCTTCTCAGCTTTGGTTGAGAGTTCTGTCTATCTGCATAGAGCTTTCTCTAGAGAATAACAGAATTGCCGTTACTCAATTATTTTTGACCAACCATGTTTCTCCCCGTGTGATATAGAGCTAATTATTTAATTACCAAGTCCATACTGATTACAATCTCATTATGCAATATAACCTTCGTCCTTATCAAGTACGCCTACTGCACCATATCCTCGTTATTTCAAAACTCAAACAATAATAACGCCCTTTTATGCATCCTCAGAGCGCCGTTTGGGTACTTTTTATTAAGAATTATTTAACCCCACAAATAGTTTCGTATGTGAACTATGTGCAAGAAATTAACAAATTGTCTTATAGACTCGCTTCCATTGAGGTCGTTGTGCCAGCTCAAGACGCATCTGTCGGTTGATTTCGGCTGTATCATGCGCTTGACAACCGGTGTCAAGATCCATGTCATTCAAACTCATAAAAGGGGTTTTATAATATATCTTGTATGAGGCATAGCAGATAACCACAACAGGTGCCGCTAAGCAGGTCCGAAAGAAACCCTGCGCAATTTCTGAGCTTGATTTGTCGGAATATCCAATGGGCCAGATTGCAGTCCAGAATTGGGAAATTAAAACCAGGCAGTTTAGAAGGAACCCTATCCAAGAACCAGCTATGCCAACCTGAGAACGAAAGGTGAGGTCTTCTACAGAGCGACCTCGATATTTCCATGCGGCTCGGTAGCGAATGTGCGCGAGGCAAATGGAGCCCCAAGTAAAAATTGATGATAGACCAGATAGTGATGACAGCCAGTTCAGAGCTATGTTTGCAGTTTCTGGCCTCCCCGCACCCACATAGCAGATCAAACCTATAGCCGAAGAAAAAATAACAGCAACTATTGGTCGGCCTTGACGATCGATGTAAGCAAGGATGTGAGGAGCTTGACCTTGACCTGCAAGCGCTGCGAGTGTGCGAGAGGAACCATAGATGGAAGTATTTCCAACCGAAAGTACAGCAACCAGAATTACCACATTCATAATTGAAGGAACAATAGCTATGCCTGCATTCTTTATGGCAATGACAAACGGAGAAGCGTTGGCGTCAGTACTTTTTCCAAGGAGGCGCGTATCACCGTGAGGAACCAAGAGACTAACAACAGTGAGGGAAACCGTATAAAAGAGACATATCCTCCAGAAAACTTGCTTCACGGCCGTAGGTACAGACTTACAAGGATTATCTTTAGAATTTTAGCAGACTAGACATTGAAGTGGAGATATTGATTATTTACCTGCTTCAGCTGCGGCAATTCCAACAAGCTCGATACCAGTGAATGAAAATGCAGCAGTAACAAATACTGAGCAGAGACCCTTGAAGCCAGAATGAAACGCGCCGGATTCAATTACACCCTTACCTGGTGCTAAAAGATATCCTGGATAGTTGGGGGGCACATTATCGGTTCTCCAGTAACGACCACCAATGTAATCTCCATCTGGACCACCGCCACAATTAAGAATAATTCCCAGAATGATGAAGCTGATGACGGCAATAATTTTTACGATGGCAAAAATGAACTCTGCCTCTCCGTATCCTCGCACACTGAAGAGATTGATGCACACAATTATAATAAAGAAGACGGTTACCCAAATGGCCTTGTGAACCTCCCCTGCACCTGGCCAAAAAGAGAGGGTGATTGATGCCGCAACTATCTCTAAAGGCAGTATTACAAGCCATTGGATTGCATAACTAGGGATAGTTAGTAACGTTTGTAAATCCGGGAAACCCAAGAAATCTGTTTTAATCAACATAAATTTGCCACATGCATGACTAAATATAGAGGTACTAACTTCCAGCCCATAGCGAATCCCCAGGCGGGATCCAAAAATCGAGTCGAGTAGGCAGAGAATGATCCTGCTACAGGATATAGCACTGCCATTTCGCCTAGCGCTTGCACGGTACAAAACATCAAAATGCTAATGATTCCATAGGAAATGAGTAAACTTGCAGGACCGCCGATTGAAAGGGTAGAGCCCGATGTGACGAATAGACCAGTTCCTATCATCAAAAATGGTTAAAATTTATGAGCTTGGAATATTAAAGATTTCTATGGTAATAGAACATTGTAGACTTACCAATGGATCCCCCAATTGCAATCATTTGCATGTGTCTTGACTTTAACCTGTGTGCTAGACCACTGTTTGCTGTTCGTCGAGCAGCAGCAGCATGATTAAAGCCACCATCATCTGCGTCTATTGGTGTCTCTACAGCTGCGTAGGGAGCTCGCCGGAAGCTGTCGACAAAAGCTCGGATCCATAGTCTGTTTGTTTTCGCGGTATCGTCTCCGGCGATAGGACTCGAGGGAGATGATGCAAACTTGCTCTCGATATCTGTGGACGTTGTAGAGGTAGACATGGTATGATACCGGGACCAAGATCAATGCTCTCCAGTACTGATCTTGATCGGATATAGAAAGCGGGATTCTCTCCCGACGTGGAGGTACAGTTGTGGCCTATTCTCAGATAAGGCATGAGAATTAAAGATGCGTTGGAGATCATGTTTTTCTTCTATTGTTGTCAGGTTTGCGCTTGACACTACTGCAGCAACTGTGTTCGAAGATCTCAGGTGAGTGAGAGTAAAGATCGGCTAGCAGGCAGCTAGCCCCTGCCCACAAGATAGCAGGCCGAGTCGATCATGATATGGCAATGTTTGATTGACCAAACTCATTGTGTATCGTGATGCTTATATGCAACCGCTGACTCGTAGCTTGCATTCAGCGCTGAGTCTTATTGCAGGTAAGTTGCAGCCTTAGGCAGTATCAAGGGGTCCGATGACGAATTTCTCGTGATGCTGGCGCTATCTAGCTGTGGAGCGATAAAACGAACATCGCAGCTGCATGGAGTATAGTCACTTTGAACAGCTCGAGTCGGAGATTAGATCCATGGAGTGTGGTAAATTGTAGTGTATACATGCAATCGCCTTGGAACCATTAGATATTAGATGATTGTCATGTTGTTATCTGGCAGGTCTCACCCAAAAAATGATGTGGGAGAGAATCCATGCCGAAGAGACAGCTTGCTGCTGCGTCGCGATAAGGTCAGATACAATTAGCCTAACTAGTGCGAATGGATCGATTGGGTCGAGCTATCGCAGACGACAAGTGAAGCCGCCGCTCGCAGATTGTGATGACAGGCATTGGAGGCGCAGGTGAGGGTAATGTCAAGTAGAGATGTAGCTAGCGACTCGTTGATGTCGGCCACTGCCCCTAGCAGGGTGCAGACAAGGGTGTTTGACAAAGATTGATAACTCGGGATTTTTGCTTGTATGCCTCAGGAGCTTCGTTTGTGTTTACTTCATTGCCTGGGCGGCACCAGGTGCTAGCTTCATTCCATAGCGGTGACTCCCGTTGACAACCATCTTAGTTTTTATTTTCGGCATATGAGGCAGGAGAAATGGTAGTGGTAGCATTTTCCTGCAACTGCTTCGGCTGAGAGAAGAGGTGGAAAAGCCACAGGTGCAGAGGATTTTAAGGCCATAATACCATCACGCATACACCAGGTGAGGCATATGAATTCTCCTTCAAGAGAAAATCAAGTGCAAAGCCCTTGTCAGAAGATATCTACATCCAAGGTGGTTGATTTCTCTAGACGATATCGACTATTCCATTCATTCACTTCTCTAGTTTAACGTCCTGTGGGGTATCTGTATACAGAACCATGAGGACGGTAAGCCATGTTAAGAAGGAAAAAAGCTTTTAAGCAACAAAACTGGTTGTCTTCCGCCTTGAACCGATCCGGTTTGATGCTGGGGAAATTCCTTTCAACTAAGGTTTCTTAAACATTAACCAAAATTCATTAACTCCCCCTTCGATGAGACTATAGCTAGGAGAAATTAAAAGAGAAGGCACCCCCTAACCCGGCGTTGGTCGACGAAGTGTTTGAGGAGTCGGCCCCGATGGTGGTGCAACTGTTGCGGGGATGGTTGATGCCGCAGGGGCTTCGACTACCTGTGGCGGTCGTCCCGCCTCTCTTCAGAGTCATTCAGTCTTCTTACTGGCGCTATTCCATTCTAAATATTCAGTATTAAGTCCCTTGAAGGATGAATGTCAGTCAAACAGCCATCCAAGCACAAACATTATCTGTTACACTCTGTTTCGTCTTACTTCAGACTCCTACTGCTGCTGGGGACTGATGTATTGCAGTATGCCGCACTTGCTGGCCTTCACCGTGTCGAAAGCTGCGCCGCGTTGCCAGGCTCTGCCCTGCATACTACACCCCGCGCCACTGAATGTATGTAGCGAACAGCCGTCATCTCCTATCTACACCAATAAGTATGCCGGAAGGCAGTGGTAACTGGTTTGAATAGTGCACGCTGGATATTCGTGTGGAATCACGGCTACGGACTCAACTAATTTCTGGCAGTAGCTCATTGATTGTTGTGATTATGAGCTTACGGGAGTTAATAAGCTGAAGCTTCTGTTTAGCATTATACCCAGAGAGTGAAAACCTTATGGTCTGATTGTATGTATGGAGGTCTACATTGATCTAATGAGAAGTATTTTCCTATGTACAAGATTGAGGTGTCCATGCACTGTTTTTTATTTTATTTTAAATCATTTAATGTGTATTCAGCTATCTAGCTATGACAAATGACCGGCGCTATGTATACATCACTGAATTTCACCCAACACAGCTGCCACTCTAATCTAATGTAATCCTCATAGACCACACATTACAACACTGATGTCACTTTTGGGGGAGCCATGATCTGGTTCGTGCACGTCTCCTTATGCCCAAAATGGATCCACCTTGGCATGTATGACTGTCACCGACTGCTGCCTATACCACGCAGCCTTAGTTTGCTATTAAATACCAAGGATGGGAGAGAAAAGCTACTAAAATTTATTAAATCAAGTAACTGTATTAATTTACCAAAAATAAGGGACAGCTTAATTTCATGTAGGAATACACAAGAGGGTGTGCCTAGAATGAACTAATATAATTTGCGCAATTGGATATAAAATGAATAAAAGAATTTAGAGAAATATGTACCTGTTGAAGGACAATTGTAACTTAGAACAAATAATTAGATTTAAGTGTCATAGCTCTAGAGCTGCATACACAATGAAAAAAAAAAGACTGCTGCCTAGTTCGTGCCCCTCAGCCTTTAGTTGCCATAATTACCTTCTGATTACAATGTGCCTGTTGATACTATTCCTTCGAAACAGGTTGCCAAATTTGACTTGTAGGATAGAATAGAATTTTATTTATGTCCCTTCTAAGTCTACGACTATGAAGGATAGCTTATTTGACAGGTACTTTGGCCGGGAAGTTGTGTAATTGCCACCTTGCCTTGCGATCCATCTTTTTAGAATAAACATATGTCAACATATTTCTCTTGTTATCGATCCGTACTAACAAACCGGATGATAGTCATTTTCGGAATACTCGAGTGGTTTTTATACCACATGCTTTCTATAGCAGTAATAACAATTGGTGGTTAACTCCAGTCCGCCTGTAGTAAAATCTGTTGAAAATATTGCACAAGGAAATGGGCGCAGTATTTATGAAACGGAAATACAAGTTGTTGTTGGAAATGAAGTATAATATTATTAGTAATGATTATCTTCATTACGTAACAAGTTCCCAACGCAATCCCTATATTCACTATCTACACACTAGTTTGGTTTCCTCTGTAAGAGTTATAAGGATGTGTACTAGCGTGGCTCCACTTCTATGACGAGAGCACATAGCGTAAGTTATTGCTTCCTGTATTTTTGAGAATTTTTCGACTTGAATACTTAACTTTTATCTTTTTTGATGCTTGCGATTCACATTTGATCATACATAACCAAGTAATCAGTTCACACTTCTCTGCTTTGTCATAAGTGGTCCTCTTTCTCCATCAACAGTTGTCTAAATGTGTGTCATGTTCGGATTAAAGCTAAAGGTGTAGGAAGTGTGCGCTACAAGTACAAGTGTACCTGTACGCGGTGTCCTCTACGAACCTGGGAGTGAAATATTCTCCCAGAGTCAAGTTCAGTCAAATTTCGCAAGAACGAACAAGTTGGCCAACGAGGCAATGATTCAAACTAATCCACCACGTCAAATATTCACTCCCAAAGAGTCCGATTCCTACCTAAGTCTCATCAAGTCTACAAGTACGACCTAGTACATCCTTATTCCGATGATCACACCTCTCGTCGACTTTCTCTGACCTCAGCTGGTCACCAAATATACGCCCACGCCGATATTTACACTCGCCGGAGGAAGCAAAGCGTGGCGCACAAATCTGGGAGAGTGTTTTTTGGGATCGGCGTGAGAGGATTTAGGACAAGTTAACAAGATGATGCGAAGGATGAATACAGTCTCGACAGGCGTGGAATTTTGAACTCTGGCAAGGAGTTTTTACAGATTGAGATTTGTGCGTGTCAAGGCTTCTGTTGCGAGAGTGCAGGTTACACTGTGGATAGCGCAATGGTTGGATGGTGCGGTGGTACATCGTCTTGGTTGGTCTGCCAAGTAGAGTCTGGATAGCTTGGACACATATCCCACTTGAGACAGTAGATCGCTGGTTTAAATCCGGCAAAACACAACTACTTTTCTCGCGGCGCTGATATGCATGGATGACGAAGAAATGCTTGGATAACCAATGGTTTTGAAATTCCCCTTGGTGAGTACTTGTGGAGGAGGTTGACTGTTTGTGTAAGCAAGCATACCTTATAGTGGTATTTGCAAATGAAATCCAGAGTATGAGTGTCTCTTACGTCAAAGGAGTCATCCAACATGTATACATAGCACCGGTCATGTGTCATAGCTCCATAGCTGAATACACATTGAATGATTTAAAATAAAAAAAAGAACTCTGAGGTGTTCTGGTCATTTGGGTGGGACGAGGCACTTGTACTTTACTGTAGTTAACCTGATCCAGCCCGGCCCCACCCGTGCTTAAGCTCTAGTAGGAGAACAACGGGAATTAACATACCTAGCACGTTAATGAACAAAAAAATAAAAAATAAAAGCCATTGATTCTTAACATCACTATCAATTCATCCTCTAAACTAGCAAACAATGTCTCTCCAAAAGTCTGATTCAGAAACCAAAGTTCGCAAGCATCTAACTCGCGATCAATGTATTGAAAGATGTCACGGATCAAGGAACAGGCGCTGGTGCAACTATGTGGTTGATAGTATGTAAATTATCATTCTGAAGAGAAAACTACTTCAGTCTCTATCTATACATATATATACATTGTCTATGTGGTTGAGGCACAGTCCCTCCCTCTCGGTTCCAATGGGATTCTTCACATGTGTTGTAGCTGTATGGTCCAATACTGCTGCCCTGCCAAACTAGATGCCGATGCCTTGATATTCTGTTGAGTGGCATCATATATCCACGCATGGATGTCGATCAATC